ACTACAGAACGTGGCAATTGGCTGTAAATGCTGGCTGGGGCATTCTGGGAGTTGAAGTCCACAGGTCTTCAAGTTGCCAAGGTTGGACAGCCCTGGCCTACATGATCAAACCATGGATGCCTGGCTGAGGAATTCTGGGAGTTGAAGTCCACAAGTCATAAAAGGGCCAAGCATGAAGACCCCTCTTTTAGGACTTGCATTAAGGAGCCACTTTAGCAAGGAGGGAGGTGATCCTAGCTTAGCTTCTCCTTTAACACGCCCTTGTTCTCCTCCAAGAAGCATCCTCATGTCAGAGGTCTCCTGCTCCAACATGACAGTCCATCACAAAACCTAACTTTCCAGGAGATACCACCCAGGTGGGGCCCACGGCTAGCCAACAGGCAGAAAATTCTTCTCGGAATAAACTCAAAAGCTGCCTTCTTTCTTTGCATGCTTCTCCCAGGCAAAGCAAACCCAAAGCTCTTTTCTAAGGTTGGAAAATCCTGGATTACTCTCCTCTCATCCCCACTTCTGGAAAAGTCTCTCCCCATCACTCGGGAAGGCAACTGGAAATGGCTTCTCTGGCGGCCAATGGCTGCCTCTCCTCTCCGCCCAACGCAACCAGCCGCCCCCCCCCCGGGCACCCCACATCTGGTTTTCCAGCACGACAAAAGATGGAAACAGGAGCCTCCTTCCCCTTTCCCCCCACCCCACCCCCCCCATCCACTAGGCTCTAACCTCACAATCCTGCCCTTGTTCTCCCAACCTCCTCACCTCCCCCCTTTTTGCAGCAGGACAAATATTTAACATCTGCCCCCAAAACAAAAACACAACAAAAATGCTAAGAATCCAGCTGCTATTTGGAGTGGGGGCAAAAATGGGGGTGGGGGGGAGGACAGGGTGGTGATGGAGGGCTGGTCGGGGTGGAGGGGGCGCCAAAAAAGCAAAAAAAAAATCACACTGGGAGAATGGGGAGGCGCCACCAACCTGCAGCTGCCATCACCACAATTACGTGGGGAGGGGGAGAATGCCGGGTAGGGTGTGTGTGTGTGTGGGGGAGATTTTGTAAAATGGCAGATTTTGCCAGCTGAAATCAAGGCTTCAGGCTGGTTCCAGCCTGAATTGCTGGGGGGGGGAGAAGCCCCCCCCTTCCTCCCCGCCCACCCACCCCCTTTTCAACCCCCCCTCTCTAGACAAATCAATTGAGTCCTGCTTCAAGCTACATAAAAAGCCGAAGGTGGGGCACATGCCCTATACGCCACCCTTCCCCCCCTGCATCTGTTGATGTGTCCACCCCCTCTTTTTTCCTGCTCCCAATTCCCCCCCCCAGCAGTCCAGTGGGGGGGGGAGGAAAGGCAAATGAGCGGATTCTAGGGAGGCTTGGAAGCGATGCTTCTGAAAGATGCAGCCACACCCAACACTGGTGTGTCTCCTTGCCCACTTTCTGCCGCAGCCACACCTTTTCCTCCAAATCTGGTTTTATAAAGATCACACACACACACACACACAAAATTCTGAAGGACACCCCTTCCAGTCCGAGGGGGCTTCTGCCCGGAGCATCTGCAATTCACAAAAGCTGCTTGCACGTCTGCAGCAGCCTGCATGAAGACACCCTCTCCCCATTGCTCCCTTGCCATCCTCTTGAACCCGCACTGGACCAGCTCTGCCCCCAAAGAGGGGAGGGCTATGCCCAGATATGACGTCAAAGGTCCAGTCAGAGCCCACTAGCCAGGAATATGGGCTTGATGGAGCTCTCCGCGGTTTGCAGAAGCCCTGGGTCTTGTCCAACTACTAGAAGGATTCAAGTCTCTCTAGTAGTTAAAGAGATTTATAGCCTGCCTTTCATTCAGGAGTTAAAAGGTACAGGGCACTCCCTATTTCCCTCCCTGCGAGGTAGGCTGGGCTGAGAGCAAGACACCGGCCAACATCCTCTAGAGCAGGGCTTCCTAATCTTGGCAAATTTAAGATGGGTAGACTTCAACTCCCAGATTCCCCCTGGCTGGGGAATTTTGGGAATTGAACTCCACCCACTGGCTGAGGAATTCTGGGAGTTGAAAGTCCACAAGTCATAAAAGGGCCAGGTTTGAAGACCCCCCACTCTACGACATGCCTCAGTTAGTTGTTATTTTCCTAAGCATCATGACAGTCCCCCTCTGCACACTCTGAGCATGCCCAGGAGCACTCTTGGGCTACTTCTACAATCAAAGTCAATAAGGGAAGCCAGATTCACTTAACAACTGTGTTACTAGCTTAACTGCAGTGATTCACTGGGGCAAAAGGGTCATAAAATGGGACAAAACAGAAATTTTGGGCTTAGCTGCAGTCATAAGTTGAGGACCACCTGGACGTGGATGATGATGATGATGACAGGGAGGCTGAAGAAAGTGGAGAAATTGACTCAGTTGCCATGTTGAGGCCTCTCTCTTCCCTCCTGTTTTTAATGCAAAAAGACAGACTCCAGGGTGGATGGAAAGGTTTGCATTATAAAATTAACCTCCTTTGATCTTTTGTGGACTCAGCTTTAGGAAAAAACTGCTGAGGTTTTCCAGAGCTATTTAAAAAAAGAGGGGGGAAAAACCTAAAAAGCAACAGTTGGTTTATATAGGCTGCCAGGGGCAAAAAAAGAAAAAAAGAAAAAGCCCAAATACAAAGAGATTTTTTGGGGGGGGGGAAGAAAACAAGACCGCTGGTGCTGCAGAACCCAAAACTTCCAAGCTTTTTAACCCCAAAACTTTTGTTCCAGTTTTACCTTCTTCCGGAGAAGAAAATATTTTTAGAAAGAGGGGGCAGGAGGAGAGCAAAAAGGAACTGGGGGGTGTGTGCAATGGAACTGTCATCTTTACTCAAGGCAAAACAAACAGATGATTCTCCTCCTCTTCCTTGTTTCCTATTCTCTTTCTCCCCACCTTCCTTCCATTTTTTCCTCCTTCCTTCCATCCTCCTTCTCTTCCCTCCCCCTCCTGTTCTCTTTCTTCCTCCTCCTCCATTTTGGCAACCACTTTCTCAGGGCTAAGTTTTTCTCTTTCTCCCCCCCCCCTCCCCATCCTCCATATCCCCCTCCCCACCTCCTCCAATCAGCCTGCCAGATTAGGCTTAGGGAATTAGATTCGGCAGCCAGTCCACAGCAGGGAGGGTAGAGAAACCAAAGCAGCTCGGTCTGGATTTAACCACCAATGCTGGCTGCCGCTGAAGAAGAGGGAGGCGCTTGGCGGAAAAGGAGGGGGACGGGCGGAATGGGGGGGTGGGTGAGTGGCTGGGTGGGTGGGAGCAAGTGGTGAAAGACAGGCAAGAGGAGCAGCAGCTGGCTGGTTCCTCCTTGGTGGGGGGGGGCAGCCTCTTTCAAAGCAGCGCTCTCCCCCTTATTATTTTCTCCTGCCCCCTCCCCAAGGCTCGGGAGCAGCTCTTTTCTCCTCCTCCTCCCCCCCCAACTCCTTTTGGTTGGGAGGGCAGAGGGGTGAAAAGGGGGGCAGACTTTGCAGGGAGATGCCCAACAAGGGGGCTGGGAGATGAGGGGAGGGGGCTGCTCCAGGCATTCTTCCCCCCCCCTCCCTGCCTGTTGTTCCCAATCCTCCAAAACCGGGGCTCCACCATTTTGAGAAGAGAGACAAAGGAACAATGTCCCGGCTGTCCTTTCCTCTCCCTGCCCCCATCCCAGTCCAGGAAGAGCAGGGAGAAAGCAGGGAGGTGGGAAGGGGGGGGCTCCCAGCCCATCCCCTTAAAAAGAAACACCTCCAACCAAGCTCCTATCCATCTACAGAGCTCCTAGGGAGCCCAAACAAAACCCTCAGTCCTCCGTGGGAGCGCCAAGGTTGCTCCTGAGCGGGTCTCCATTTTGGGGGGGGTGTGTGTCATCCCTCAAGGAACATTTTCATCGGGCCACAGAGACCATCAGCAAAGCTTCTGGGTTTCCCCCCCCTCCCCAAAGATGAGCAAGTCAGCCTTGGCGCCTTTATCACAGGGACATCAATTTCATTCATCTTTCTGATTCATGGGGGGAGGGGCAGAAGGCTATCCGTTCATCCCTCCCTTGACTCAGATTGTAGTTGACTTAGATTGTATCGCCTAAACTGGCCCCTTCCCAAGCTCACTGCCCCGCCAGCATCTTATTCTGGGGGTCTCCAGCCAACCCCCACCCCCTACCCGAAGGGGAAGAGAGAAAGGGGTCCAGCACGCTAACAGCAAGGACCCTCCCTCCAATACAAGAGGCTCACCCCTTCGGGAACCCCATCACTAGCCCAGGGAAAGATCCCTCCAACAGGAAGAAGCCAGCACGGCCTATCACGATGCTCCTGCGGGTGCAGACCCCCCCCCAGGATTGTGGGGGGTGGGGAGACAAAGAACCAAGGGAGCCCCACTACTCTCCTCCTCAGCCGGGCCCTCCCCTCCCTTGCCAGACATCCCCCTCTCCTCCCAGGAGGGCCAAGAGCCCCCCTCTCCCCAGGTGGGCCCCCTCCTCTCCTACCTGGACAAGCCAAGAGCTCCTCCCCAGCAGAGCCTTCCCTACCTTGTTGAGTGGAGATGTTAACCCCTCCCCTCCCAGGTGGGCCAAGAGCCCCCTTCCCAGACACCCCCCTCCTCTCCAGCTGGGTCCCCCCTCCCTAGCTGGGTGGAGATGTTGTCCCCCTCCTCCTCTCCCAGGAGGGCCAGGAGCCCCCACCCCAGCCAGGTCCCCCCTCCCTTGCCAGATAAAGACGTTGCCCCCCTCCTCTCCTCCCAGGCGGGCCAGGAGCCCCCTCCCCAGCCGTGTCCCCCCCTCCCTAGCTGGGTGGAGATGTTGTCTCCCTCCTCCCCTCCCAGGTGGGCCAAGAGCCCCCTTCCCAGACACCCCCTCCTCTCCAGCCGGGTCCCCCCTTCCTAGCTGGGTGGAGATGTCCCTCTCCTCCCCTCCCAGGCGGGCCAGGATCCCCCTCCCCAGCCAGTCCCCCCTCCCTTTCCGGATAGAGACGTTGCCCCCCTCCTCCCCTCCCAGGCGGGCCAGGATCCCCCTCCCCATCCTCCCCCCCTCCCAGTCCATCCCCTACCTTGCCGGGTGGAGACGTTGCGCTCGTTGGCGGCGCGCAGGACCACCTGCGGGCAGCTCTGCTCCAGCAGGAAGAGCTCGTCCTTGCCCACCTTGGCCGCCTTGCCGGCCTTGAGCGTGCCGCTGGGCCCCGACGGCGCCAGGTAGCGGCCCTGGCAGTCGCGGAAGGCCACTTTGCCGGCGCGGAACTCCAGCGTGAACTCGGCGGCCGGCTCGGCGCGGCCTACCAGCTGCCCGTCGTGGCGGAGGAGGCGGTGGTCGCGGGCCTGGAGCCGGTAGCGGCCCTCGTGGAAGAGCAGCGTGACCAGCGCGTCCACGCCCCAGGGCACGTCGCGGCCCACGGCCAGCTCCTCGCCCGCCGCGTCCAGGCGGGCGTAGCGCTTGCGGCTGAGGCTGAAGAGGTGGAGCTGCGGGTGGAGCGCCAGGTGGACGCGCCACTTCTCGGCGGCCGAGACGGCCTGGGCGAAGCAGGAGAGGCGGTCCTCGGTGCCGCCGAAGAAGCGCCGGTGCGGCTCGGACTGGAGCGACCAGCGGCCGTCGTCGTGCGCCACGATCAGGAAGCGGCAGTCGGCCGAGGGCGCCTCGCGCTCGCAGCTCACCTGCCCGTCCTTGTCGGCCGCCAGGTAGCGGCCCAGGTGGCTGCGGAGGAAGACGCCGCCGGAGTCGTCGCCCTCCTGCTCCAGCGTCCAGATCTGCTTCTTCTTCAGGCTGGGCGCCGAGGCGTTGAGCTTGAAGCCGAAGGCCTCGGCCGTCAGGTACTTGTTGCCGCAGTTGATCAGCCCGAACTGGATGGGCAGCGACTCGGAGGGCGCCGACGGCGACGAGGCGGTCCCGTTGGCCGTCATGGCGGGGATGGCGGGATGGATGGCTGGACGGACGGGGCGGCTGGGGCTGCTTCTCTCCTCCTTTCCTTCCTTCCTTCCTTCCTTCCTTCCTTCCTTCCTTCTCTCCCTCCTTCCTTCCTTCCTGCCTCCCTTTGCTTCTTGCCTTTCCTCCCCGACGGCTCCTTTGTTCGGCTGCTGCGGATGGGGCCGCGCGGACGGACGGGCGGGCGGGCGGGCGGGCTGGGCTCCCGGCGCTCCGCAAAGCCGGGCTGCAGCTGGGCGAGAGGCGCGGGTGCTGTCAGGACCCGGCTATAAGGCGGGCAGGGGGCGCGGCCGCCCCGACGCCGCCAATTGAGGCTCGGCGCGCGCGAGCAGGCGGAGCTCTCCAGCCGGGGGAGGGGGAGCGCTGCAGACGCCTCCTCCCCCCCCCGGCCGTCAAGCCAACGACGGCAGGGGCGCAGTGGGAGGGGGGGGGAGAAAAGGAGGAGCCGGGCTGGGGGGCTCCGCAGGGGCGGGGCTGGCTGGGACGCCCTTGCTGAAGGCAGCGGGGTCTCCACTGCGGGTATTGGGGAGGGGGCAGGGACTACAGCGGCCAGCGTCCCCAGCCGCTGGGCAATCTGGGGGCCGGGATTTCGGGGCGCGGCTTCCCTAGCTGCCCGCCACTAACGGCGGCAGGGGGGGGATTGGTGGAGGTCCCCAGCCCTGTTTCTGGGGGACCCTTCCCAAATCAGGGGTCCCTCGTCCTGCCCTGCCCCCTGATTTGGGGAAACTCCCTGCTGATGTTGAAACCTCCCCCCACTCTTCCCCCCCCCCCGTCCTCCAGTTCTGGGATTCGCACCCTGGGCCAGCCCCAGCGGGGTCTCTGTTTGCACCTCTCAATCGCCCACCCACCTCCTTTCCGGGCTGCCTTGCTTGGTCTGCAAAAGAGGTCAGGAGGGCGGGATCTGGTTGGCCCCTGGACAGAACACCACCCAGAGATCTGGGGGGGGGAGGGTGGATGCTTTAAAAAAGAAATAGACCCAGCCCCCTCCAGTCCTTGATTCTGCAGTCACCCCAATTCACCAAGGAAATTGTCCCTGGCTTAAAGGCTGCAGGTCCTGCACATCTGGATTTGAGCAAAAGTCTATCTTCAAAGCCAGATCAGAAGCTCTCATTAAAGCAGAATTTTTTAATTCTTATTAAACTTGGTTCATGCTAACCCACCCTGGGCAGGTTCGTGCATCGTGTTAAGCCAGCAATCCAAGCCTCCTAAGCAAACCCAGTTGGAAGCATTAAACTTGGGTTACCAACTTATTTTGGGTCTTAGATCCTCTGGGTTTAATGGCTCTGTTTTCTGGGGATAGCAGCTTAGTTCTAGACTGAGAATGATTTTGTCTGCTAAAAGCCAGAGAAGCAAACTGGCTTTCTTCTTCATTAGTTGTGTGACAATCATTAGCATTAATGATGGTTACCTTCACTTCATTATTCTAGGGCCAGTGTTTTTGGAACTTGGCAGCTTTAGGATGGGTGGACTTTCACGCTGGCTGGGGAATTCTGGGAGTTGAAGTCCACCCGTCATAAAGCTGGAACAATATACACTTGGCTAGTTTCTGGTTTAGCGCACTGTAAGTCTTCCGTCAATTTGATCCGTTCAACAGTGGTTCCAGAAACCATGGCTTAAGTGGGTTGTTTGAATACATCCACGCCTAATCCTGTTCTCCTTCCTCATCCAGCCAAATTCCACCATGGTTTCTCTTCCCCAGATCCATTACATTCCTGGCAAGGTGCCTAATTTAACTAGTTTTATTGCTCCAAGCTTTGAACAACTCGGTTGTTGGAAGGGAGGGGAGGAATTAGGAAAGGATACTTGTCTCTTTTATCTTCCTGTGACAAACAAATCGAATTTGTTCCCTGGGGGTTTTTTTGTGGGGGGTGCGAGACAGGGAATCCCACCCTGCAGGGGTGATGTGCATCCCACCCCCATCCCTCTGAAGCTCAGATGAGTTGGGTCATATTTATTCTTTTGGACCTCATTCTGTGCCACCTCTCCTGTTCATCCCTCCTTATTCTCTCTCCCTTCATCCCTGTTTATCCATCCATCCATCCATCCATCCGTTCAGCCTGGACTGAGCTGCCAGTGTTTGGCACTCTTATCTTAGGTCCCAGCTGCAAAAGGCTTTGTAGTGGTGGAAAAATGGTTTGTTTGTCCATTTGCAGACCTGCCTTCCTCTTCCCCTTGTTCTCTTGCCTACAGCCATCTTTTCCCTCCCTCTGGTCCCTGCCCTGCCGGCCCCTTTGTCCTCCCAAATCACTGTGTGTGTGTGTGTGTGTGTGTGTGTGTGTGTGTCCCCTTCCTTTCCTGTAGCCCAGCTATGAGTACAGAGGGGATCCTAACCAGTTGCAGAAAACCTTCCTGGGAAAGTCACACACACACACACACACACACACACACACACACACACACACAGGTTTCTCCCTCACCCCTCCGTGCAAAACTGGGTGAGTTCAGGGCTTGCAAAATGCTGGCCTGATGCAAGACAAGCAAATGGAAGGTTCCAGAGAGAAGAAAACAGAGCAGAGAATTCTGCAGCAGGGGAAAAAAAAAACCCTTGCTTTCTCCCCCCTCCCCCTTCTACCTCTTTCTTTGGGAATCCTTCAAAATCCAGAAAAGCTGCATTTTTCTTTCTGCCCTCTGACAAGAGGTCTTGGTTCCCGATGAAAAGCTCTGGGTACTCTAGGTGTGCTTAGAGGCACTCTTGCTGCTCAAGTCATTTTGCTGAGACCCCAACTTTGCGGGTGGGAGGCTCTGGGAACACTGGGTATGCTCAGAGGCAGTCCTGCTGCCCATCTCATTTTGCTGAGATCCCATCTGGTGAGCAGGGGGCTGGACTAGAAGACCTTGAATGTCTCTTCCAGATTCTATTCTATTCTATTCTATTCTATTCTATTCTATTCTATTCTATTCTATTCTATTCTATTCTATTCTATTCTATTCTATTCCATTCTGTATTTCTATTCTATTCTATTCTATTCTATTCTATTCTATTCTATTCTATTCTATTCTATTCCATTCCATTCCATTCCATTCCATTCATCTTTGGGTAAAAGATTTCCTGGGGAGCCTGTTTTGACTTTTGGGGGTTTTGGATGCTTAGCCAGAAATTTGGTAAGCAAGAATCTCAGGACAGGCTGTTTGCAAGCAAGAGCTTTGCAGGTGGGGCGCTCTGGGAACTCTGGGTATGCTCAGAGGCACTCTTGCTGTCCAAGTCCTTTTGCTGAGCCCTCAGCTTTGAGCAGAGGTCTTCCTGGGGGGACATTTTTTCCCCCATTTGAAGTGAAACACACCGTTCAGGTGGCAATTCTGGGCTGATTTACCTGAAACAGCATCCTTTATCCGTGCTGGAAATGTAGTGCCTTAGCTATAATCTCCTGCAGGCCTTTTCTAAAATGAAAAACCAGCAAAATGAAACTCAACTCGAGGCTCAATCCAGCTTGAGCTGCCTAACAAAAAAGTGTTTTTTTCTGACTCGATATCCCAAGAGGAATTTTAAGCGATTAAAGGATGCTTAGAATTTTGCCGGAACAAAATTCACGCTTACAAGATCACGTGAGCCAAATTCAAGGGTTGAACAAACGGCATGGCTGCAGCATCCCGGGCCCATTTCCCCCCCTCCCAAATGCCGTTGTAACTTTGAACAGTCAGTCCCTAAAACGAATCATTTAACTCAAGGACTCTCTGCAGATCAAAATTTAGGAAGAGAAGAAACTTCAGATGATTTTACCATCTTTCCCTCCCCCCCCCAAGGGGCGAAACATTTGGTTTTCGTAGTTTTATCCAAAAAGGGTCAGCGTGGCTGAGACCACAACCTAATAATATTTGTTGCACGGTGTGTGTGTGTGTGATTTGCAGCAAGCTTTCGGCAATGACCCTCGAAAATATTGCCTTTGCAGAAATGGTAGTTTCCCAACAGCCAGAAAAAAAGGGAAAAAGGAAAAAAAAAAAGCGAGGACAATGAGAGCACAAGAGATTAGTGTCTTTTTCTCTCCTCCCTCCCTCCCCCCCCCAGCCTGGGCGGTCAGATGCGGCTCAATCCAGTTGCCAGTGGGAGAAAGTGGGGGAGGGGACCCTCCCAAGATGGGGAGACGGGAGGAGAAGGGAATGAAAGCCGAAACTGGCTTGGGGGACACCCCCCCCTTTCTTTCATAACTGGCTGGTTTGGCTGCATTGGAAACTCAAGCTGGCCTCGGTGGGAGGGGTGGCCGATACCCAATGTCGCAAGCAGAGGTGGCCCCATCTGGCCAGGACCGTGTGGCTGTTTGAAATGCCAGAAACCCACAACCACTTGGGGGTCTGGGCTGTTTGCCTACAAGGCCAGCCAGCAAGATTGCCCGAGTTGCACAGAGTTAGTTGCGCAAATATTTGCTCGGTGATTCACCACCATCAGATCTGCAAAGGGTTCCTCGGAGAAGAGGCCAGCTCCTGATCAAACCAAAGTAGGATTGAATGGCTTAGTCCTCGGTCAGCCTCCCCCACCCCCGTCCTGGTACTTAAAACTCTCTCTCTCTCTCTCTCTCTCTCTCTCTCTCTCTCTCTCTCTCTGTGTAAGCGGGTCAACATGGGACCAGACCTGATGTTTCAGCATCTTTTGTGGCGGTGGTTAAGCCCATGCCATCGTCACTAAGCAAGCACCCTTGTCGTTAAGCGAGTGCCATGATTATTAATCGAACCCGTCTTTCCTTAATGGGTGTTTTGTTTCCTTTTTGGGGGCGGGGTTGGAAATGAAGTAAACGCCGGAAACTGTAAAAAACAACAACCAGAAAATCAGTCACATGACCTTGGGAATGCTCTGAGCAACCCATAAAGGGGAGCTGGTTGCCAAGCACCCAGAACTGACCACATGACCAGGATCAACTTCAAGCAATGGAAAGAGTGTTTGCTTTCCATGCTGAAGTCCTTGGTGCTCTCCCAGCTGGGTTGTTGGCTTGTAGACGTTTCATTACCCCGCCAGGTGACAGCATCAGTGTGAGGCAGTGTGGGGCTTGCCCCCTTTTTATACACAGTGGCTTGCCCTGCCGGTTTTGGTGAGTATGTGGTTTTCCTCTTTGTACTGATTAGGGCAGGGGTCTTCAAACTTGGCCCTTTGATGACTTGTGGACTTCAACTCCCAGAATTCCTCAGCCAGCTGAGGAATTCTGGGAGTTGAAGTCCACAAGTCATCAAAGGGCCAAGTTTGAAGACCCCTGGATTAGGGTATTA